GGCTGTCTGAGGCGGGCACTTACCTAGGTCCCCAGGGCTACGGCTGTCTGAGGCGGGCACTTACCTAGGTCCCCAGGGCTACGGCTGTCTGAGGCAGGCTTCAGGCTAGACCCAAGATCCGGCTCTTTCATGGGGCTCCAGGTCTGGGTCTCCTGGCTGGAAGGCAGGCTGGGCTGGCAGCCTTGGGGCAGCAGAGAGGGCCTGCGGGCTCCTGGGCCGTGGAGTCTGGGGCCCTGGCTCAGGTCCAGACCACTGTTCAGCAAGGGCTAGGAGTACAAGAGGGAGGGGAGGAGGCTGAGCTCCTACTGGCTGCCCCTTCCCTCCACCCCTAGCCACAGCTCTTTCCCTGGGCAGCCCAGGTCCTTCTGCAGTACCCGAGGACACATAACCTACTCTCCACTACCCATGAGAACCATCAACACAAATAATCCCAAAGCATGGATGAAGTCCAAACCATGGAAAACCATGGAAAATCACATACCATGGATAATATTCTAAACCCACTCTTTTTTTGCCATAAAGTTTAAAACTTTGTGTGTGTGTTGGGAGGAGGCTAAAATTATCAGCCTTTTCCTTATGTCTTCTCATATGTCATGCTTAAAAGGTCTTTCCCACTCAAAAAAAATTCTAGAATTTTTATGATTTATTTTTGTTTGCTTAAATCTTTGACTCACATGAAATTTATTTTGGTGTAAAGAAATAGGAACCAGCCTTTCCTTGATTTTCTTAGTACAGATCTCAACACCATTTATTAAATATGGTTCATTCATTGAGTTTCTAAGGTTTATCAATTCCCTACCTCTATCCTATCAAAGCTCTCATGTACACTGGTTTTATTTCTGGACTTTCTCTTCTGTGTTGTGGATTTAATCTGTCTATTCTTGTGCTGGTACAAAAAACACCAAAAGGCAAGGGATAAACTGGGAAATATATCTGCAACACGCATGACAAAGATCATTTTCAAGAAAAAGCTCTTATAAATCACTGGGGCAGGGGGAGCAGAGGTAGACTATGGGTTCAGGGCATCTATAGGCAATTCACAGAAAAAGTATCCAATAAACCCATGAAAAAAATGTTCTGCCTCATGAGCATTGCTCTAAATTAAAATAAGTTATATGATTTTTTCCACCTTCCAGATTGGCAAATATTTAAACATTTGATGACACCCATTGTGGCCAACAGGGAGACAGGGTTTCTCTCATGGACCGTTGATGGGAGTATGAACTTGAGGCACACTTGTGGGAGGACATTTCAGCAGTGTGCTATTAACATTAAATGTGCACAAGCTCATTTGACCCAACGATTCCATTTTTAGAAGTTCTGTGGAAATGCACAGGATGCGAATATCTTTGTGCATGTACTATAGATTTGTTGCAGTGTTGTTTGTAAAAGTGAATATCTGGACATTCTCAAAATGCACATCAATAAGGGTTGACAAGTTATGGAAGATCCATGCAATGGAAGGCCACACAACAAACACTGAAATGAAAGAGTCACATTTCTTCATACCCGTGTGGGAAGATGTCCAAGATCAAACATATTTTAAAAAAGTAAATTGCAACCATTCTGTATTTTGATTGTGGAGATATTTACATGACTATGCGTTCGTCAAAACTCACAGAACTGTTCACCAAAAAGAGGAATTTTACTGAATACCAAAAAAAAAAAAAGAATTAAAAAGACATTTAAAGTGTAAATTGGAGATTTACTTTTGGATTTTAGAGCTATCCAATAATAATTGGATATAATTGGAGATTTACAATGTGATTATTCAAAACATATATGTGTGTTGCGTGTGTGTGTGTGTGTGTATTATTTCTGGAAGGGAACACTGAAAATCAGTGGGTTCGGGCACAGGGAAGGGGTAATTTTATTTTTACTTTATACCTGCCTGAACTGTTTGAGAGTTTTTATTGCAAACTCTGAGTATGTATTACTTCTGTAATTAAAGAATATTAAATTAATTAAAAATGAATTTTGTGCCTCTGGGAGCACATATGCTTGGTAGGGGGAGAGAATGGGGGGCAAAAGCACTTGCAAGATGAAACAGAAAAAGTGGACTCTCAGGTTTTTAGGTCAACAGTTAACCATGGAGGCTTTCTTATCTCTATCAAGTATTTATTGGGAAGAGGATTGTGCCTCTCCTTTAGATAAGGGCTCCTTAGGGCAGGGGCTGGGGCCCTCCTTCCTGTATCCTCTGGGCCTGAGGTCCTGGAGATGGTACAAGGGTGTGGGAGAAGAAAGGGACTGGTCACTGGTAGGACGGCCTCGGTAGGAGCTGGTATCCAGCCAGGGCTGCTGGGTCCCAAGAGGTCCTTAATCCCCATCTCCCATCAGAGGCTGGGAGTCCCCTCACCCCTGCCCCACCATCACCTCCACACTGAGAAACGGACGCTGCTACAGTTTCCATGGCAACGGGTTAGTCTAAGATTCAGCCCTTCACCCAGCCAGAGGCTGCAGGAAGGGTGTACGTGTGTGCGTGTGCATGCATGTGTGTGCGTTTGTACAAGTGTGTTGGGGAGAATCAGATTGGAGAAGAAGCCGAGCAGGCGACCAGGGAGACATGAGCAAAGATGGGTCAGAAGCAAGCAGGAGACAACAGATGCTAAGCTGCCCAGAGCTCTCACCAAGGAGAGTTGCATTTAAAAGACGCCTACTGTATACCAGGGTGCACCAGGCAGTTCATCTCCTATCAGCCATCGCCTGCAAGTCTTCCACTTAGAGTTGTCTCCCAGTCAATACCTGCTGATGGCAGTTAGCTCAATCAGCTGTACAAACTACTCTCCCCATTTCATAGATGGGGAAGTTGGGGCTCAGAGAGGGTAAGCAACATGTTTGAGGAGCGGAGTCCACCTGACTCCAAGATCAGTGTCTTCCAACCACATCAAATGATCCCTGACTAAGCACAGAGAAGGGCCTGCAGGGTCAAGGGGTCAATGTCTCTGCCCTTGGGGAGTGTAGGAGCTTATGGAGAGGCAGGGAGGGCTGGTGGTGGTGGGTGGGAGAGGGGAGACCGAAAGGGTCCTTTTATGGAATTTGACTCACAATGACAAAGCTACATGAAGCCCCTTCTTAAGAAAGTGGATAAGGTATGCAGATAATAACAAACACCAATTTGGTTTGGGACAGTATTTCTCCATCTGGTGGTTTTACCCTCTTCCTCAGGGGAATTTGGCAATGAGTGCAGACAGTTTTGGTCATCATGGTTGAAGGTGGTATTCAGTTGATAGAGGCCGGGCATGCTGCCAAACATTCTACAATACACAGGACAGCCCCTTCAACAAAGAATTATTGTGTCAATAGCGCTGAGGTTGAGAAACTTTGGTCCAGCTGAACAGTGGATGACTAGTCCCGTTCTGGCTCTAATTCTGAGATGATCTCTGCCCTGAGTGAATGTACAACCCTTGGGATTTGCAGAAGGTGCAGTGTGAGGGAGGAGGGAAGTGAGGGCTTCGCAGGCAGAGGGTCCTGGGTTGCAATCCCCTGACCGGCTATGTGACCGTGGATAAGTCACTTGACCTTTCTGGCCCTCAATTTCCACATCTATACAGAGTGGCGGTGGTCAGCTCCCCCACTCCTTCCTCTCAGGAGTGCTATAAAACCAAATGAGTGTAGATGGGGCTGCTCTTTACCAGCTGGGAAGTGTTGCGTACAGAGAATGGGTGATGTCACTGAGTACTGGGTACCATTATTAGAAAGGGGCTCAGGCAGATGAAGATCCCCAAAAATGAGGAAGAAGACACTCATTTTGCAGTGTAAGTAGTGGACAGGCTCCATCCTTGTGGCTGAAGCAGGAGACAGCTCTTTCCCCGTCTATGGTCCCCCCCCAACTCCAACCTGCCCTGCTCAGGTACCTGCAAATCAATCTGCCACCACGGGGCATCTGTGCTGGTCTGGTTGGTGAGGTCCTGAAGCTTGGCTTTCCGAAGTCGGTATCTCCTGGCAGGCACTGTGGGGTCGCTGGCTGTGGGGGCCCTTGGGGAGGGCTTGTGGTTGGTGATCTGGTTGGTGCTATATGCCCGCCGTCGCTGGGAAAAGTCTAGACCTGGGTGGTTGGTGACAAGGGGTGCCGTCAGGGTGGAGGTCAGTGGGGAAAGAGAGAGAGGGGCTTGCATGCTCCTTTCCTGCTTGGAAACTTCTTGAGTTATCCATGGCTTGCCTGCTGAAATATTTGTAGATGTCTCACCTCCCTTGGCGTTCAAAGCCTTATGTAAACTGGTCCTAATCCATCTATCCGGCTACTGTCCTTTCTGCTCCTTTTTCAATGTACTGTGTGCTCCAGATGTACCAGATGAGCAATCACTTGTGTATGTGTTTTCTAGTTTTCTAGGTGTCACATTTCTACGTCTTTGCTCAGCCAGTTTCTACTGCCTGGAATCTCCTCTCCCATCCCACTTCTAAGAATCTGTGCCTTCATTATGTCTCTTGATATCATTTAACAATGTGTCTTTCCTTGGGACCCCCCCTCCCAGCTTATTAAACTTTGCTGTGGTCCCTGTCACTCTGCTTCTATCAAAGTTAGAGCCAACTGTATCTCTTCCACTAGGCAGAGAGTTTCTGAAGGACAAGCGTCCATGTTTGCATCATCCTTGCTTCCCACGCTGTGTTCAGGACTTAGCCATGGTAGGTGATCAATAAATGCCTTATGAATGGAAATTAGCACCATAAAGAGGCTTTGGATGCAAACAGCTCTGGACCTGTCTGTACCCTCCCTCTTGCAGGTTTCATGAGCTTAGCCAAGTTGCTTAAGGGCTCCAAGCCTCAGTTTCATCATCTATAAAATCGGTGGAATAGGATCCATCCCTACAGCTGCTAACTATTCAGTGAGATTCCTTGTATAAAGTGCTCAGCACATAGTAAGTGCTCCGCAAAATGTAGCCATCGTGGCCTTCCTGAAGAGAGAGTGAAGCACAAGGAACAGCAGACTAACCAGGATTAGTGGTGGAGTCTCCGATGGATGGCTGGGCATCTTTGGGCTGCCTCAGGTTGAAGTGTGACCCCACGCTCTTGGCACAGTTTCTGCTGTCTGGGCTGGGCCCCTCATCCTGGGAGTGGTAGAAGACGGAGCTGCTGGACCCCTGAGAGTGCAGCATGCTGTACCGTCTCCTCTTGTCCTGGAGGGAGGGAGAGAAAAGAGGGCTGGGAGTGGGGCTAGATGTCAGAAAGAACACCTGTAGGGCAGGCCGGGTGTGACGGGAGGTGGTGGGCGTTCCATCTTTGAGGATCTAGAATAACAGGAAAGCTTTTTGCTTGCTTGAGTAATTTAGGTAGACTTCTGTTCAAGAGATGGTGAATGGAACCAACTCTTCATAACATTTATATTGTTTATATATATATTTAAAGATTTTATTTATTTATTTGACAGAGAG